AACAATGTTTGTTTTTATGTTTATAAGGTACTAATCCTACATAGCTTGAGGAAATTAAAAATGCACATCAAGCAAAAGCTTGTAACCCATTTTTTGTGGGAGTGGGGGGGGGGCATCATCCCTTCTCTTTTTGTGTGATGATGCTGAAAGAAACATAAAGACAAAGTTTGTAACTTGTGGTAAAAGCAGAAGAGTTGTCATCCATTTTTTTTGTTTGTTTTGTTTTTGTCACGTTTAAGTGTTATAAAGTCTCACTAAGTTTTCCAGTAAAACCCAGGTCCGAGTAGATTTTTAATGAAACCTCTGTGTCAGAACGGGTTAAACAAGTTAAATAAGTAGGAGTTGGAGAGTGCGTTTTCCCACGAATCTCAGGCTTGTTCGTGATAGGAAAGCAGACACAAGCTTGAGGCAGCTAGAAGTACTTTTTGGAACAACTTTGTTCAAATTTACAACTAGTGATTTAAAATAAATTGGTATGGGAAAAGGTTGACTGTCACTGTATTCCGTTGTTTTATGTAGTATATCAACATTGATAATTGCATGCTTGGGGAATAAACCAGAACGGTTCAAAGGGAAAGTAGCAATGCTGTATTCCTACACATATTTCCTGTAAGCCTTGTTGCCTGTGAGATCAATACCGTGGAAAGCATATAGCAGAGATGGAAGCCTAAAGTTGCTGGTTGGCCAGTGATCTGAAGGTAATCTTTTATGTCCTATAAATGATTAGGAGGAAGAGCAGCCATAGTCAGAGAGCTTTGTTCAGTCACATCCTCACCATGTGAGTCTCTCACATCTCCTGTCTCTCTCTCAGAGTGTCTCTCTCACACACCGTGGCGGCTGGTGTTGCCAGTGAGGGGAAGCGGTGGTTTACAGTGGTATTAATTGGGTCTCTGGAGTAAGAGCACCAGGCGGTCTGTCTGTCTGTCTGTCTGTCTGCACTAAAGCAAACATTATCATTATTTTTTTCCTGTTTACAAAAGTCTTCCATACGGCCAAGAGTCAGAGGAAAGGCTAAATGAATTTAGATTAGGTGTGGAGAAGTGGCTGTCTCTGTAGAGACTTCAGTCTCATTTAGCTTTCAAAGGTGAAAATAATGAACTCCATTCCTTAAATGAGAAAAGTTGCAGTGTGAGTTTGAACAGTTGTTTTTGCACAGTTTCGCCTCCCTTATCCCGTTGGTGAAATGACTTAAAAATAGTTATGATTAATCCCCTGGAGTCCGTGGACACCCTTATTTCATAGTCATATGACCATTTTAGTGGGAAAGATTTGCTCTTTGTAAAAAAATTGTTCCAAATTGTGTGAAAATTACAGATTTCAGGCAATGCATCATATTTTAAATTGCATAGATAGATAAATAAATTACAGAACTTTATTTTTAATGTTCGTCACATTTGAAGCGGAGAAGAGCACCGAGCAGACTGACCGGAGTAATCCCCAGTCAGTCTGCCTGCTGGCATTAATCGTATCAAGTGCCAAAAAGTAATCAATTTATGTTTTTCTGACGATTAATTACACACGATACGATTATGCCCAACCCTACTAGATTGAGAAAATTACAATACTAATTAATGCTGGTTAGTTACTGACACTATTTCTTGCTAAAATATAAATTGTGATACAGTGAAAATGTTATATTTTCTTTTTAAATGTTTTGTTCAGTTCATATGTAAACATGAACTGAGTTTCCTGTTATTTCATTATTTTTGGTAATACTAATTATCAGTGTAATCCAATAAAAACAGAAAAAAAGTTGAAATAATTTCAAGCGAGGACTAATGGGAATCGCTGAAAGCTTGAAGCATATTTGAATGGCAGACAGTTCATTTGGTGCACACTGCTTTGCACATCTGGATGAGCTTACTTGTACGGATTTGAGTCTGAAATATTCATGTTTTTCCATATTCACACCAGGACCTCCCAATGTTATCAGCTCAGCTGCCTGCCCTGGTTTGCAAAATTCAAACTGACCAATAGTGACTCAGGAAACTGTTATGTAATTTCCTCATCCTTGATCAGACTTTCCATTGTTGAGGAAAGCCATTTCCTCCATTTCAGAGACAGATCGATGCCTATGAGTGCCGTCTGGATGTTTGGCTGTTGTGTAGGAAAAACACAAAGTGATGTTTTGTGTGTGCGCAGATTTTTCATTCAGAAGCTTTACAAGCTCAGCAGAATACAGCATACAGTATGCATGAGACAAAGGGTTTGGGCTGAATACCTTCACATAAGATGCTGGGGAACAGAACAGAGTAGATAAGTGCCAAAGACTGAGAGGATTTGGGTGGTACTGAAAAAAAGAGAGGAGAGAGAGAGAGAAAAAAAAAACAAGATCTGATTTATGGGGGTCTTTTCTACGCAGCCATCCAGTTGTGTTATCCATGCCAGGACATAAATTGTGGGAGCGATGTGGAACGCTGAGGCATAACTCAGGTTTTCCTCTGCTGTGCAGTGACTGGTGAAACAAAGTCTGATGGGAAGTGCTCTGCCCGTTTTGTTGCTCCTCTCCTCTTTACTGTCACTCATGTCGTCCCCGTCTCTGCTCTCACAGTCGGGGTTTTTTCTGCCTGCCTCTCTCTTTCCTCTTTTGACTCTGCATCACTCTTGGCTGTTCTGCTCCGTTGAGCTGACGCCATTCAGAGGGCAAAAGCCACACACACACACACACACACACACACACACAGAGAAAGAGAGAGATAGAGAGAGAGAGAGAGAGAGATGTTTCGTCATTCTCATCCTCATCCTCACTTTTTTTCCATGCTTGAACAGCCCTCCTTCTGATTTCCAGAGTTGTTGCTGCTTTTTTTCCCTCTCTAACTTCACAGTTGTGGCTTTCATTCCAAAGGTTTATG